TTGTTTTGAACAGTTTCTAAAAGTAGCCCCCTGCCCCACAGAGCATCACCTAAACCACTGAGATCAGCTCACTCCCCCAGCTATGCCCTGTACCCAGTCAGGTGAACATGAATATTTCCCCTGAGCATTTCTTTTCATTACTGTGCTTATTCTCCTGGCATTTTTTACACATCAATGGAAAAGAAAAAATGTCTTGAAGGTATTTTTTTTTAGGTGGAAAAAAAAAAAAGCCCCCCCTTGGTCTGGATTTGCTCAGATACCTGTTTCTTGTGCATGAAGGGTGTGTGGTGAGCTCACACCTGACGGCCCCGAGCTGCCACACGCCGTTTGCAGGCTCCCTCTGAGGGCTGCTCATTCCTCTCAGCCTGGTGTTTCTCAGCACACAAATGATGTGTTTACAGTTTGGATCTTTAGATCTACGGGCTTTAGTTTTAGAGTATGAATTCCCCTCCATTAATTGCGAGCTGTATGTAATATTTATGCTGGGGGGACGTGAGCGGTGTTGGAATGAGCCTGTTCTCCTTTGAAACAAGAGGAGCTGAAAAATCACCCAGCGCTCTGGCTATAGTGTCTTGTAAAGATGCCAGCAGGCAGAACGTGATTTAAGGGGCACATTTTTGCAAATCAGCACCTTCATAACAGCCCTGGAAGGAGAGAGGAAGCGGTGTGGGGGGATCCGTGTTGAGATTAATGCAGCCTCTTATCTTTACTTAGTGCGGAAGTTCCCAAAAAGGATGAGTGTGTCAGATCCCTGGGTCTCTCCCAGGTTTTTTTTCCTCTCCTTTTGCTTGCTTTCCTTCCTGGTTGTAATCATGTAAATGATGCTGTTCGTTGTCTCCATCTTGCCCGTCGGCTTGAAGATGCTGAATATTAATTGAGCAGCATGGTGTCTGCTTTTTAAGCTTCACAGATAAGCAAACCATTCTGATATTGAAGGGCTTCACCCTCTTTTACTGTGGTATTTAAAAACTTTATCTTTGCCTGTCATAGAAGAAAACCTAAAAAGCCCAAACTTCTGAGACCTTGATATTGGTTTCTAAACAGGCTTCCCAGAGCAGATTTTTGGGGGGGTATGGAGATGGCTGTCTTGCTCTTAAATTTGGGTCTTTATTTCAGGACATTGGCTTGAATGTTTTTTTTAGGCCGTTGTGATTCTGGTCTCTGTCTCTCTGCAGTTCTGGGGAAGAGAGGAAGAAACAAGCTTTTGTCTTTCAAAGGACAGTTGAAAGACTTTTTGTTCTTATTTGGCCCTGCTTCAAAAAAAAAAATGCACTTTTGAGTATGACAAACTAGCTGCTACATAAGCATCTTGGAGTTAGCTAAGTAAAAATGTTTTCTGAAGTGCTGTGAGTTTTTAAACAGTTTGGGTTTTGGTCAAACATTGAAGTGTGCTCTGGTGTACTTGCTCAGAGAGCTGGGAGCAGTAATGGAGCTGGAAGATGGTGGCTGTGGTCTTTTTTGAAGGGAAACTTTTTTGCCATTGAATTTTTCACTGTGTCTCTGTGGCTCCTTCTAGAAAAGGCAAGGTTCCATCTAGGTTTAACATATTTGCAGAGGTGTTGGCCAGGTTTCTTTTGGATCTTTCTTATTAATAAAAGGGGAACGGACTAGATGGGGCTTAGGAACAGGATGAGGCTGCTGCTCTTCCTGTTCTGCCTCCATGAAGGACAGCTGCCTGAGTTCTCCTCTCCCCTTCAGTCTGGTGGTTTTATTCCTTTTAAGGCATGAAGCAAGAGCTGTGTCCTTTTTCCAGATGGGAAGGAAGGAACACTTCAGAATGAGATTTGAAGTCCACAGAATATCTGATTTATACAATCTTATGTCTTTAAGAGGGACTTTTATTCAGGGTATGAATTTGTGGATTAAGAGAATTGTGAGGGGTTTGGGGTTTTTTTTTTGAGGCTGGCTAATGTTGAAAACCTATTTGACTTCCCAAAGGCTTTTTGAATGTTAGTAAACCCAGAGTGAAACAGAGCAGAGTTCAGAGATGGGCTAAACTGCCTGGAACCTGTGCTGTGTGTGTGCAGTCCCACGCACCAGCAGCAGACACATTTTGTTTATTCAGCTCTATAGTAAATATTTTGTGTTTTCTTTTCCCAACGTAAACAATTTCTATACATGCTTCTCTCCTAACTAGGTGCCTGCATCTTAAACAGATTTATTTCTACACTTTAAATGATTACATCTTACGTTTTGTTGTTGCCAGGCCAGGTACAAGCAGAGCCTGGATCCCACGGTGGATGAAGTGAAGAAGCTGTGCACGTCCCTGCGCCGCAACGCCAAGGAGGAGAGGGTCCTGTTCCACTACAATGGGCACGGGGTGCCCAGGCCCACAGTCAATGGGGAGATCTGGGTCTTCAATAAGGTGCGTCCCCACGGAGTGCTGTAGGACAGCAGAATCTGCCTCACTGCTCTGTGAAGTGCTGAAGGGTTGTGTTGAGAACAGCCGGATTTCCAGGGTTTAAAATGTGCTTGCAGCTATTTGTTTGGTTCCCTGCTGGCAGCTGTTTGCTTTCTTTGTGTTCTTGAACTTCTGTGAGACCAAATAGGTTGTCCTTCACCTCCTGGTGGGGCGGGAGGGTTTTCTCTCAGATGCTTTAAAGCTCTTTCAAAGCACTGACCAGCCAGCTACTTCCACTTGCTTCATCAGCTTTTCAGAGCTAGCAGTGGCTCTGCAGTGTCTGGGCAAACAGGGAGGCTCCCCAATGGACTGGGCTTTGCTGCCCCACATCACTGACTGATTAAGTTCTTCCCATGAAGTTTATGCTTGAAATGTTTCTTGACTGAGCAGCCATTGTTGGTACAACCTGGAGATGCTGCAGGAGGACAGTAAACCACACGGCTGGCTCTGCTGCCAGGGCACAGGGCAATGAAGAGCCTCCCAGGGCAGCAGTGTAGGCATATTGGGGGTTTTTTTTTGAAGACTTCTGTTATCTTTACTTAGCCACAGTTAGGAGCTGTGGTTTGTATTGCTGTGTAGATCACTTGCAACACTTTGAGTGATTCCAAGTGTGACCTAAATGTGCTTTGCTTTCCCTTTAGTTACACTCTTCAGTGTCTATTAAGGGGAACTGATTGAGAATGGAGCCTTACAAAGTTCAGAAATACTGTCTGGAGCTGAAAAGTGCCTTCAGCTGATACAGAACTTGCATTCATTCTCCTGTTTTATTTGGGGGCTTATTGAGCCTCTTTTCTCATATTTCACCTGTAATATTTATATAGTTGAATGACCATTCACAGGTAATTTGAAAGAGCGAGGGAGAAAGGAAGGGGGTGAAGTGCAAGAGGGCATCACTTTATTCTGGTGCATCTATATTGGAAACTTGATTAGTATTCAGACCAATAAACAACTGGTCCGAATACTAATTCATTTTTAAGCTGAATTTGGTGTTTAAGAACAAATCAGAGTGACCTTCTTCCTACTTAACAGCCAGTGGGTAATAAATAAGCCAGAAAAAACGCTGGGCAGAATGTTACAATGGCATGAGAGGAAATTACTGCTCAGTGAAGTTGTGTGGAGTGCCAAGTGCTTTATTAAGGGCTTACTGGGCATTTGCCAGTTTGCCTGCAGTATCAGCTGGGGTGGTGTGTGGACACCACTGGTGACTGGGAGCTGAGGTCTCTCTCATTTATCTCAGAGATGGTGAAAAAGAAAATTGATTGGCATACAGGTTGATAGGGAAAGGTGAAACAGTGATTTTTGCAGCATGTTATCAAATATTGGCTTTTTTGGAAAGAGAACCAGGAGTGGAACTGTTCTTTCAAGCAAAGGTTTAAATTTAAGGAAGTACTGGGGCTGGGCTGGGGGAATGAACAGTGTTTAGAAATCAGTCCTGAGGAATTCAGTCTCAGATCTAAGCAGGGGGTCTAATGAGGCTCAGTGTTAGAGCCCTCTTGAAATACTAGAGCTACTGAAATTTGACTGTGCTGCCATTTGAAAATGAGATTTAAAGGGCTCATTCATGCACTTGAAGTCTCAGCTCTAAGAGCATGAAGGCAGAGCTGGAAGGGACCTTGAGCTCATCCACAAGGAGGAGTGAAATAAGCCTTGCTGGTGGATGTCAAGTGTTAACAGGCTGAGCTGTGTTTGCCAAAGCAGATACAATTTTTTGGATTTGTGGTGGCTTCCCATGGGGTGAGGCTGGGCCTCTTCCTGCAGTTCCCCAGAGGGGATGGTCCTGCTGAGACTGGGCAGGCTGCTGCTGAGGTTTCAGTGCTGGGGTTGCAGGAGAGCAGAGGGTGGTGGCTCAAGCAGGAGGTGCCACATCTGTTTAGTTCAAGGATGGGAGACAGCAGTGAGATGTCAAGAGTCAGCCCAAACACTTCCCTATCCATTTGTTCCCAGTCTGCAGCTCATCCCTTTTGGTTTTGTTTTTTTTCCTCCCATAAAATTGGTGTGCAGCCATCGTGGGCTGGTGACATCAGTGGTGACAGAGAGGACCTCTCCTGCTGCCAGAGCCTTCTGGGGAGCTTAGGACCTGCTCAGTTCTCATTTTCATGTGTGTGCCATTCCAGCCATCTCTGGAAACCTACTTCTGCTATCACAACACTTGGGTTTTTTTATTCCTCATGGGTTGTGAGAGGCTTTGGCTTTTGGCTCTTACCAAAGTTGGTGGTGCCAGGAGTGCCATGGTGTTGCCAGGTCAGGATACCCCAGGCAATGCTGGTTTTGGGGTTGGAGGAGTTACACGGAGCCTGTGGCTGCTCCTGAGCATCTCTCCTGCTGCACCAGAGACTACTGAAATCTCCCCACATGTGCCAGCAAGCTCTCAGAGACAGCAAACAGCTGTAGTGGCGCAGGAGAACTTTGTAATGATGCTGGAGAAGGTTCACAAAGTGTTAGATCTTCATTAATATATTCCCCTTAATTTCTCAAGAGTTGGTGTTTCAGAAGTGCTGTAGACCTCTGCCCTTGCACAGTTGGTGCTCTGTCTGAGCTGATGCTTTAAAATGGTAATACAAGGAGAATGCTTCTCTCATATGCTTTATTATCTCCTCCTCTGAAAAACTGTCTGCTTCTGTGGCTTAGCTGATTGAATCAGTTGAGAAAGGCCCTGGCAGAGGGACTGACATGCTCTCAAAGGTGTCCCAAAATCTCCTGGAAGGGGACCCCTGTCCTGGCCCTGCCGTGCCTGGCGCCGCCGGAGCATTAGCAGAGGGGCAGAGGGGGCCCCTGCCCTGGCAGCTGATCTCTGTGCCCTGGAAGAAGCCTTCCCTGCATGGCAGTGGTGTGTTCAGGAGAGATTAAGTGGGGTATATTCTGATCTGGAGATTAAAAATGACAAAACCTTCACTTCAGCTGCACACCTCAGTCACTTTGGTCAGCTAACTGTTAAAATGCCACCCAAGAGAGAAAGAAAAGCAAAAGAAATGCCACCCAGAAAGAGGAAAGAGTACAGTGTGATTTGGGTAAGGCACTTGCAAAGCTAGTTGCTAAACTTACTCGGTCTTTAGAACCCAAGCCTGCCTTCTCTCCTCCAGACAGGTTTTCCTGGAGTTCAGTTTTGTATAGGTTTCAGCAAACTGTGCTCGCTGGAGTACAAATACCTCTGGTTACCATCACTGTGCCAGGCTCTCCTCTGGAGGAGGCCTCTCCTGTTGGCATTTGAAGAGGACACTAGCCAGTAACCAGTCTGATACTCATCTGCATCCATTTTTTTTAGAATTTAAACCTGACCCCCCATCCCTGCTTTGTAGGTGAGCAGTCAGTGTTGCCTGGCAGTGTGGGGGAACACGGGGGGTCCCTGCACCCCTCCTCCTCCCCTCCAAATGTGCCAGGAGCTGCTCCAGCTTGGTGATTTGGTGGGCTCAGGGACAGCACTAAGGGCAGCAGAAAGCACTTGGGCTGTAATTTTTTTCCCCTAGCAGCACCTGAAGTGTTCCTAGTGCTTTAGTTTGTTAATTTTTGCTTTGTAGCTCAACAAAGTGCTCCTGGACTCTTTCTGCTAGAGAGTTAATTTTTGCTTTGTAGCTCAACAAACAAAGTGCTCCTGGACTCTTTCTGTTAGAGTTAATAAGATGTGTAGGAAGAACTGAGGATGAATTCCTGTAGGTTCATTGTCACAAGGTTCATTCCCTGAGGTTTCTGAAGGATTCCATGAAGTTCAGAAATCCCAGGACAGAAGCTGAATGCAGCAACCTTCTGAGGAAGCTTTTCAGCTTTAGAGAGACCTCTTTAGAGACTACGCTTCAAGCATTGTTTCATCTCTGACAGGAGATGGAAAGAGGAATTGTACCTTGCCTTGGAAGGGATGATTGTTTTGAGGACGTCCTTTTCCTGGGCCTGTTGTGTCATCCTGCTGTACAAAAGACCAGAAACGTGTGCAGTGCCAGAAGCCAGTTCTGCTAGTGTGAGAATACAGGACACCAAATGTGCATCATCCTTGTGTTCCTATTAAACCCTTCAGGAGCTCTTCACTTATCACTCATCCTGTCCCCAGACATCCTGTGTGACCACGCCAGGGCCAGCAGCTGCAGTCCTCCTCCTGCTGCAGGGGGTTGCCACAGCTCCCAGTCTGAGCTGGCTGCTCTCCTCACACGTGCCAGGAGCCAGCACTTCCTTCTGGAGCTGTTCCTGATCTCACTGAGGGCTGCCTGCTCTGGCTCCCTGCACGGCAGAGGCGTGCAAAGGGTTGGGACAGTCCTTGTAAAGCAGTTACTTGGGCATTATCTGGCGTTTTGCTGGATTTTGGAGATGCAGCAGCATGCTTTTTATGTGATTATTGCAAGTGCTGTTTTATTAAGAAGGAGCAATGTTCTTTTTCCAGTTTTGGTTACTACTATTTTCTAAGAAAATCCCAAAAACATGGTTTCAAAAAGGTAAAAAGCAACCACCCCCCACCCTGAGGCTTCAAACACGTTCAGTCTGAAGTTCTCTGTGAAATCTGAAGAATTTTTTTTTTAAAATATTTTGGAGTTGTTCATTAAGCAATTGGTTATGAAATCTGTTCAAAATCAGTTCCCAGTTTAGTTGTTTGGCGTGTCCTGCCTTTAAACAGGCACAGAGGGATGGTGGGAGCTGTGTTAACAGAACAGAAACTTCCTTGCTAAGAACCAGTGTCAATACTGAGAACAAAACATACGGACGAGTTCTTTCATACTCACAGCCCCAGCGTGGCAGAGGCAAGATGAGCAAGCATCAAAAGATCACCCTGAGCAACCGTGCTAGAAAACTATTCTTTAACACTCCTTTTTTCTTCAAACTACCCCATTTACATATTCATTAGCAAATCTGAGGAGTTATATGTGACCCTTACAGTAAAGTTGGAACATAAAATTCTTCTGGTAGGAAATATCATGATATTAATCAGAGCTATAATCCAGTCTTAACTGCAGCAATATGCATTATAAATATAAAGTTAAAACAATGCATGCCCATAAAGCCTCACAGATTATGTGTGTCAGAGGAGGTTTTTTTTGTATGTAACCTTCTATGACTGGATGATGCTTGAGCTGAGTGATGCCCTTAAAAAATGCCTGGGCCAGGAGTGAGTTGTTCATCTATCATTCTGTCCTGCAACAATTTGCAAAAACTCCTAATTCCCTAAAACTTGGGCTTTTATAAACAATTTTTCCTATTAATTTTAATGAAACAACTGAAACTTTTATGTATGGGCAAAACTGGATTCTGAAATGACTTACAGTTTCCTACCTTATCGAGCATATGGTTTATGATCACTTCTGTCTTTATATGTGCTGATACGTGTCCTTGAAAATTTGGTTTTTTTAAAAGTTTACTGGTTTTATTACAGCTCTTTTAAGTCTCTTGAATTTAAATGGGAGTTATGATCCCATTAATCATTCTGCTGACGTTAATAGGAGCATCCCAGCTTTTCCTGGGGAGTTTGGGCCCTTTGGTGCTGGAGGAACATGAGCAGGTTGCCCTCTGGCTGCAGCTGGGCAGGATGGTGCCAATATATTTGTAGGGGCTCTTTCCAGATTTAAATGGCAGAAAATCCACTTGGGGTTATATTTTCAATGCTGCCACTTAGTTTAGGGTGTGGCCCTTTATAGCCAGTTTTAAATGTCTCATTGTTGATCCTCTGTGTATTTTTAGACTCTCCTACCTTCAATTATTTGGGGGCATTAAGGTGGAAGACAGGGAACAAAATACTTTGTATTTACAAGGACTGAATTGTTAGTACTTCACTTTGTTGAAGGCAGACTTTGTTGGTTTTAGTTTTATTGGATAATTCTGAAAGTTGCACAGAAGTTAAAGGCTGTAATAAAATTATGAAGCATCTCGTTAAACTAAGATGACATAGCTGCTGATGGGCTCCATAGTCTTAATTATCCCTCTTGATTTATTGATGGAGTTTTCAGTTTCAGATGTTTGATGTTAAATTAAAGACAGCTGGTTTACATCCTTTATCAGTGTTGTAGAAATTTGGGGTAAAATTGGCCTGTTAAATGCTGGTTGGAGTTGTTAGCACTTCTCAAAGCACTCTTTGAGTTTTAGAATTTTAGTTCAGACTTCAACATTTCAGCCAATGGCACAATAAAAATACACGTGTCATTTGTGTTGGGTTCATTGTCCTCATTATTATGGGGGTTGGACTCAATCTCTGGAGGTCCCTTCCAACCCCTAACATTCTGTGATTATTTGTAGATGTTGAGTGGTATTTGTATTAATTAATATGCCCAATATTCAATCTAGATTTTATTTTGTGATTTCAGAATTGGATTTTTTGGATTGTTTTTTATCTCACCAATGAAAGTTCTGTTCCTTCTCTGTCTCTCTGTAACTTGAGTGTGTTTTTCCTTGCAGAACTACACCCAGTATATTCCTCTGTCCATCTATGACCTGCAGACTTGGATGGGCAGTCCTTCCATCTTCGTCTACGACTGCTCCAACGCCGGCCTCATCGTCAAGTCTTTCAAACAGTTTGCACTACAGAGGGAGCAAGAGCTGGAGGTGAGGTCACAGGCTAGCCTGCAAAGCTCAAAGGCTTGAGTTCAGTCTTGCTTTGCTGCATACAACTGAAAGTTGTGTTTAAAACTGTTGGAAGACAAATTAACTTGCAGATAATTTTGCCACTCCGGTCTTTCTGGTTCAGTTTGCTGTCCTATTAAACTTGGAAGGATTGTTAATACAAGCACTAATTAAATGGCAGCGTTAATAGAATCCATTTGCACCCTAATGGTCTTTTCTGCCGAGATGGATGCTGAGGTGAAGGAGACACATTTGTTTTGGTTACAAGCTCTAGGATCTGGGTATGTTTGGGTGCAGTTTTGTGCTGTTGAAATGAACGTGAAAATGCAAAACAAGATAAAATAAACCTGGTAGAGGGATTGTCACTAGTGGCTTCAGTTTCACAGAGTGCTTGAGCTGAATGTGTTTCTAACAAAAAGCTATCTGGTGTTGCAAATGTAATTACTAATAAAGGTATTGAAGAAATCTGAAAGGCAGAGTGGAAGGTGAGAAGTCAGGATTCCTTGTGCAGCACCTTGGGATGGGAAAACTGCCCACTGCCAGAGACTCCTGCTAGCTGGAGCTTCCACAGAAAACACATTTTTTCTTAAAGGCTAGCTGCTTACACTCACACAGTTCTAAGGCTCTGCATTAAAAACAAACAGAACAAAAAAAACCCAACCCCAGACCTCAAGGAAGGAACATCAATTGATCAGGAAACTGATGGCCACAAATACAACCTTCGAGCAGGTATTAACAGTATCCCTCACTACAGCTCCTTTCATTCTAAATTCCAGCTCTTTGGGATGCTTTTGTGGTGACTCAGGACTCTTTTGGCACGAGGAAATTCCGTTCTACTGACAGAAAACCATCTAATAGTTTGGGATATGTAGATCACTTCCTTATTCCTTCTTTTGAACCAGTATCTTGCTGTATTTTGTAAAGATAAGAAACTTCCCAAAGTCTGAGGCTTGGGAAGAATGTGCAACTGCAAGACACAGATCAGTAATGTTGGTAGTAGATGCCTTTTGAAGGTTACCATCTTTTAAGCCAGGGAAAACATCTGGTGGTCATATTCTGTTCTCCTTTCCAAGTTTCCCTCTCAGCCTGAGACTTTCATTGTGATATTTTTTTGGAGCCTTTCTCTTGTGTTTGTACAATGCACCCGTTTGGATTTTTAGTTTGTTTCCTCATTCTGCTCCTAAGCAGGCTAAAAGTGAGCCTGACTTTACCTTCCCTTCCCCTGCTTTCTTCATGCATTTCCTTTTTCCCTGGGCTCTTGCTGAGCTCTGGAATGACTTTGAAGCTCTTTTGGAAGGAAGCAGCTGCAGGTGTCCGCTGGGTTCTGCTGTGAGACAGATGAATTGCTCAGGTGAAGCTTGTGCAGGAAAAATCTCCTCTCTGCAAGTCAGACAAACCAGACTCTGCAGACAAGGGTTTGCTGATGAGCACAAGCAACGATGTCAGCCTTTATTTCAACAAAGATATTAAATCCTGTTTGCTCAGGGTTTTTTTTTTTTCCTTTTTCATTTTGCAAGATATGTGAGGTTACATGGGAAAATGGTTTTTTTTTCCCTTTTTCATTTTGCAAGGTATGTGAGGTTACATGGGAAAATGACTTTAGCATTTCTTCTCTTTGAAATGTAGGTTAAAAGTACCAGTTAATTTGATTATGAAAATACTTTTGGGCTTATATGTCAGCTTTCCATTCTGTATCTGTAGATTTCATTAGCTACTGATGACTTACTGAGATATCTGCTTATTACTACTAGAAAACAGACTTGGTAGCAGAGATAGAAGAATGCTTAGAGGGCCATACAGAGCATGAATGTGAATTAATCTGGAAAACTATGGATTACTGAATTGTTCAAATTCATGAAAAGTGAAGTATAGCTGGAACTGGTGCTCAAGAGGGAGGGATCAAGATAATTGTTGGCCCATCTTAGTGAAAAGAGATTAGAGGAGCTCACTGTTCTCTTAATCTGACAGGGAAGGCTGAGGGGAGCCAGGGCTGGGTGGTTTTTTACTGGTGTGGAGGGCTGCCTGGCAGGCACGGTGGTGTCCTGCTCAGAGGGGATGGCACTGGGTGTCCTGCTCCGAGGGGATGGCACTGGGCACTCTTCATCAGCTAATTAGTAAGCTCTGGTGGTTCTGCCAGTATCTAAATACACCGTAATTCTGGAGAATTAAGCAGGCACTTTAAGTGGGCTGTGCTAACAATGATAAAGCAGCAGGCTCATTATTTCTGATTAATTTTCTGTGTAATTGTGACATTGTGTTTCCTCTGACTCAGGCTTGTTTCATGCAGCAAGGGCTGCAGTTCTAAGGCCAGCTGCATTGGAGAGGCAGAGAAGCAAAGGCTGAGGTCTGTCCCCTTGCTGGGGGCTGTGCTGGACAGGACTTTGTGCTTTTCAGCATTACTCTTTGAATTTTCCAGCAGTGCTCCTGGGAGCTGTGTGTTTAACTGGGAGCTGGGCCTGCAGTGGGTCTGCCTGTTTGTCCTCCCCTCCAGCAGGCCCTGTGACTAACTAGTCCTAATTGGAGCTGAAGAGTTTTTTGTTTTTCCGTCTTCAACGTTAATTCTCAAAAAATGAGCTTAAGGACAGCACAGCAGAATGTTATCTGGCAGTAGCATCATGTCTGGGGGGAGAATTTTTCTAATCCACCATCTGCTGGGAGAGAGGAACATCTCCTCTGCTGTAGCTGCATTCCTGTCTTCCTCAGGGGAGGAGGATTCACAGCAAGGGGTTGTGTGGAGCTGGCAGGTCTGGTCCACATTTGAGATAACAACTCCTGGCTTCTGTCTTGGGGCAGACTCCCTCCCAGGTTTACCTTGAACACATCTCTTGGTTCAAAAAAGGCTTGGATTTTGGTCAAGCGTTTGTTTCTCAGTCAAATTATATAAATAAGCCAATGTATATAAGTATATAAATCAATGTTTTCAGTAACAGCAGTTTAAAATACATCTGTTATTTCCCTTTCTGTTAATTACAAGCAGTAGTACCTGCAAAGCCACCGGGTGGACAGAGAGCTTGCAAGCAGCAAACCTGAGGGCTCCTTAGGCAGCTCTAGTTTGTTTTCAGAACAAATGAGTTGCCACCATCTTCCAGGAGTGATGGTGTGTTTCAGTTTAATTGCTAAATTAATATTACCACGATTATTTTGTCTGAAAGGCTGGGGATTGTCAGTTGCCCTGAAATAACAATAAGCAACACAATAAGCACTCTGGATAGTAAGGGATTTTTCCTTGCACAGCTCACAGAGGAGAATAGGCATCACTTTGCCTTGACACTGTGCTTCTGCTGGGAGAAGCTGTGAGCTTGTCACGGGCTGCTGCAAGGTCTGAGGCTGACTGATGGCTTACAGAAACTGCTGGCATCTAAAAAAAATATTAGAGTGTAGATACTGATAATTTTTATAGCCTTTCATATATGATAACTTTTCATAGTCTGTTTACTCTCCCTACAGCTGTGAGTACATTTTTGCTAGTTCATGGTTTTTTTTAAGCTGCAGCCTTCTACTTCTTCTGTACCTTGCCCTAATGAAAAGTTACATTAATGAGGGAACCAGGCATTCTAGAAGGTCTGACTTCAGCAGTGGATGTTCTAAGGATGCAAAAAAACCCCTGTTTATAGTGGGCTTTGCTTAACCCTCTTTCCCCTCCACTCCTTTCGTCGACTTGTAAAAGAACGTTTTGCTCTATCGTTGCCCCTGGAAGTCTGACAAGGTCTCTAATTACTGCTTAGTGTGTGTTCGTTTTATGGTGGTTAATAGTTCATCTCCTGAAGGACAAATATTTACACTGCATGTGTCACAGCTGCCTTAGTTCCTCTCACTGTGTTGAAGGCAAGAGTTGAGCAGGTCTTGGAGAACGAGCTACTTCCCCATCAGAACTGAGGGGGTAGGTGGCTGCCAGACCATGATGAATGTCACCTCCTTGGTGTTGACACTACTCAGAAAGCAGAAAATCCATCTAAATGTACTTCCCACCTACAGAGCCCATTTCTGAGGCTGCCCAGAGGGAAGGTCTTTCTTTAGGGAATGAATAGCCATAGCTAAGCAGTTTGACTGCTTTATATTTTAAATCTGTGAAGAGCTAATGCTTTTCCACACATTTCTTGTGTGGAAAAGCATTAGCTTTTCAAATAAAGATCTTTTCAGTATGTAGTGGGTTTTTTTGGTTTCTTTTTTGTTATTAGCATATACCTTCAGGGTTTGGTTTTTTTTTTTTTGCAGGTTAGTGGTTTTGGTGTGTGGTATTGTTATGGTAAATACTATTAATTATATATGAGTTGAAAGTATGGCTGGTGCCACCATACTCCTAAATGCCTCTGAGTCCAGAGATGCTGTGAACTTGGACAGCTCTTCAGTGTTTATTTTCAAGATGGTGTAGAAATGAACTTTGCTGAGCTCACCCCCTGAGCCCTCCCCTCCATCTCTGCAGGTAGCTGCGATTAACCCCAACCACCCGCTTGCTCAGATGCCTTTGCCACCCTCCATGAAGAACTGCATCCAGCTGGCAGCCTGTGAGGCCAACGAGCTGCTGCCCATGATCCCTGACCTGCCAGCCGACCTCTTCACCTCATGCCTTACTACACCCATCAAAATTGCCCTGAGGTGGTGAGTATCTTCCCCGTGGTGGAAGGCAAGTGCATAACTTGTGTTGCTTGTCTGCTGAAATGATAGACTTGTCAATCCAAATGCTGCATCTAACCTAAAGTTTCTCTGGAATAGTGAATTGCAGGATTTGAACTATGCATTTGGGACTGCATTTTATTCATCAGAACTAGAAAGGTGAAAATATTGTTATCTTCTACCTGTTACATTTTAGATTCCTGCTCAATATCTAGGTTTGCTCAGATTAAGGGATTTACCATTCTGGGAATTAAATATCTGCTTCTTCAGAGAGCAGAAATAGTACATAGAGCAATAACAACTTTTTGTAAATTGTCCTTTGTACAAATAATATTCCAAATATTGCAGTTGCTGTAAATAAGCCAGTGGCATTAAATAATGCTGTGGTGAAAGAAATTGAGCGATAAACCAAAGAAAGACGTTGCGGAGTGACACACCAAGTTAATTAGGCAGGAAGTTATAAGAGACTGCTGCAGAGAGCAGGAGCTTTTGAAGAACAGTATTTCTATCCAGCAGCAGAGAGGATCGTGAGCAGTGGAAATGCCAGCTGAGGACATGGTGTGAGGAATCCAGCGTGTCCACCCAGGGAGCACATAGCGCTGTGGGTTCATTCCTGCCAGCAAGTTTCACGTCATCTTCAGTGTTACGTGTACTCTGGGGTGAAAAACTTCAGGTCTTCTGCTAGACTAGGTTAAAACAGGCAGGAGCCTACAGGCACTGCAGGCAGTGGTAAGCAGTTGAGTCACCAGAGCTTTGGGAATTATTAGCTCTCTGTTGGAGATACTTGTAATCACGCACGGTTCCTACGCTCTCTCTGACTTACACGAGCCATAAACTAAGCAGGTTAATTTGACCAGGTTCTGGTTTAGATACATTGTCCCTTGGCTGCTCCCCTTTGCTCATGTGAGGAACAGCACAAGGTGGGTTTAATTTTGTGTCCCATTTTTCACTTTGTGAGTTCACAGGGTGTTTTCTCACAGAAGAGAGTCACAGCTTGTAAAGGCACGCAGAAATCTTGGATAATTTTCAAAAGCAGGGCCAAGAGCTTCTGTGACATTAGGAATATTTTTAAGGGAAGGAGAAAATGGGTTTTTCTGACCAGGTGTCATGGACCAGGAGTCTGAGGTAATAGGAGACCAGCCTAGAGCTTCAGGCAAGGAATAGCAAACTCAAAGTTAGGCAGGTGAGTGCTCCTCACAGGGCTTTAAAAATTCTGTTTTGTCTCACTTTTTCCTCCTTCTGTTATGAAAATGAAGCATCATGTTGTTCTTCTAAGCTACTGGTCTGGTTGCTGTACTCACCACTCATCAAAACTCACAAGTGAGCACTTGCAGGTATCCAACAGGATTGAGGTTGCTGATCAGCCAGAGACATTTAATCTCCTCTAATCTGGAGAGAATGATGTGTGTCCCTCCTGGGCAGGTGAAAGGAGAGGGGAGGTTGATGGCGTGTAGCAGGTACTGTGACAGCCCTTCAGTGCTGCAGCCACAGCCTTGACATGGAGCTCTGCTGTCTTGCTCTTCCTAGTGCTGATGTGGTGGTGGGAGACTCACTCTGAACTCTGCCTGCTGCTTGAAAATTCTCTGCATAAATCCTCATCTTTAAAAGCTAAACAAAGTCACTATGTGGCAAAATTCCTTTAAGAGATCTTCAAGAAATACTGTTTTCTAATCAGGAAAATATGGAAGTACTTTTATTGCATGGCTGCTCACAGATCACTGCTGTCCCAGTGTGAAGGAGTTCAGATTTCTGCTGGTTTTAGCTATGGAGAAAGACTTTGAAATGATTTTCCACCTGATTAGCTCAAGGCTTCCAGCAGATGACAATGAATGCAACTTGGTAAATACAAATGATGCTTTTTTTTTTAAAATGACTTGTGCATGGAGTCCACAACCAACACATAAACCAAGAGGGGACTCAGCATTCAGCAAATGGTGGTGTAAGTTCAAGTTCTAGGGAGAATGTTTTCACTAAAACACTGTGTTATTGGGGAGAGAAGAGAAGAATTGCTTTGCAGTGTGGACACACTGAGGCTTGCAGCTATTCTGGATAGCTCAGTGTTGTGCATGTGTGTTAAATCAATACCAGGCAGACACAGTGACACCACTTAATTTTTGTTGTTTTCGCTAATCCATTAAATCTTCTTGAGAATCCCTAGCACAGGCTTTGCCTATTGAAGATTTACTAGTTGATAGCAAATTGAAGTAAGTGAAGTGAAGGCTGTTGGTGTTGGAACTTCAGGGTTGTCCTTCCCTTGCAATTACCAGAACCATACTTCACAGTTTTTGCTGTATTTAGAGTGAAAATACTAAGGCTTTATAAGAGGGTGTTTTGGGTTTTGTATGTACTGATAAAGATTTTTTTTTTTGATGTGATGATCTGTTCAGGAATTTTCTGTTACTTCATCTCCATGGGAACATGGTGGAGGGGGGTGCTCAGGGCAGGTTCTCGAGCAGAACTACACCTGCCATAAGCATGAGATATTCTCAGGGTTGTGTCTCGTTTGTGTTTGACAGGAAACATGTTTTACTGTAAAAGTGCAGCTCAGGGGAAGGATTTAAAACTATTAACCTCTGCTGCTTGGGGGGTTGATGTTGGTAGGTGCCATGTGAACTCCTGGGTTTCCTACCACATCTAATCCAACGTACACACACAAAAATTTCCCCTCTATTCTCTGATTAAAATTATGCTCCTTTTACATTCCCTATTGATTGGCACAGTTGTGTTTTTATCCACGCAAGTGCTATAAATAATAAGTGCTGGCCTGTGGAGCATTGTTATTCACTGCTGTTAAATATGACACATGCAGAGCCAGACCCTCCTCCTGCTTTCCAGCTGTTGATGCTGGGGTCCTAAAGCAGTTAAAGTTAACCGAAAATAAAGACGTAAATCTTTGTCATTAAAACTTCTCCTTTGCTTCAGTCCTGCCCTTTTACTAAAGCTGATCCAGAGCCCTGCAGAATTACTTTTGAAATAACATATTTTGCATTTCTGGACAGGCTAATGAGGTTTCATAGACTAAATTTATGGGCAAATAAAAGTTTGATGAATAAATTTCTATGCATCCCATTTTGCGCTCTGTGTTTTAAATAAACAACTGATAAAATCACTTCTCAAATGGGGTTGTAGCTGCATCCACCTCAGTCTAATTTCAGGGGGAGAAAAATTGATGCTGGTAAGAGGAACACGGGTCATTTGTGCCCTTCTGATTGCAGTGCATGAAACTCTTTGTGACAGTCCAACAGTTCCTGGCATGCAGTGTGTGAATTCTGGCTAACTTGGTGCTGATTGTCTTCATGTGGAGTGGCTGTTGTGAGCTGATGTATTCCAAATATATGTTGTCACTATATATAGCTATCTATGAGGCAAGCTTAGAGATAAGCTGCATGGTGGTTAATCTTGACTGATGTGTGCTAATCATAAGTGGGATCAGCTCTTGCAGGAGCAGGCAGAAATCAGCGTGTGCTCGGTGCTGCTCTACGCAGAGCTCGTGCTGTCCAAGGCAGGAAGCAGCTGTATTGGAAGCTGTGATCAGTGGTGCATCATCCACTTGTATCATCACCACTCCCTTAGGACATGAACAAGCTGCAATTACACATTCAGAGTGTTGCACATCGAGGAGAAGGTTGTGCTTGTCTTGATTGTCTTAAGGACCATATGGCTTTGAACCGACAAGTCCCACTCCTAAAAGAGTAATAGAGCTCCTGAAAAGTGCTGGAGAACCTCCAAACCAAGAAGAAACAGAGTCTGGCAACTGCCCAGTCGGGAGTTTTGGACCCACAGTTGGTCACTGGCACGCTAACAGAGCAAGCTTGTAAGTGCACAGGGAAAAGAACTTGACCTGTGACAGCTCATTTTCCATTAGGCCAAATAAAAGTGTTAAAACGTTTGGGTTTTTTCTATTATTGTGCATTTCTGCTTGAGGTTTTGGGGGATTAACCGACCCAATCCTCTGTCCCAAATTTATTTAGAAGAACTAAAATTTCAAATTATTCCTGTGGTAGCTGATCAGAACTGGGCTGAACATTGTTATGTGTATTTCTGGTTCTCTTCCTTATTGCTTGGCATTTATTAGTGTCTTTACATGCAGCTCAAATGTATTTTACCTGATGTTTGTGATGACACCATCACTTGAGACATCCCATTTAGAACCTTGGAGTGGTGGAAGGAGGTTGCAGATAGAGCATGTGGAACATTTTGTTTACAAGTACATTTTCTTGGCAGTCAGTGGAGGTTAGAGAGGAAATGCAGATAGTCTGCTCACTGGCCAAATGGGGGTTTGGTGAACTAATCTCTTTCCAGTTATTGAGGGCAGCAGTGGGGGCTTCTGCTCTACCAGGGCCAGTAGATAGGAAAGCAGTGAGCGCTTGCTGCTCTCCTCCTGTTCTGGTGAACATCAGACAGCCCTGTGGGCAGGGCAGAAGGGGAGGGCTTTTCACTAGCCAACTGCAATCTGGTTTTATCTTGTCACCTTTGAGGAGCCGTGAGCTCAGATGGAGTAAGTGAAATCCAGGCTTATTGGCGTGCTGCCCACGGCGCGATCGTAGCAGCTCCTGAGGAAGTGCTGAGTGACAGCTGCACGACGTGTTTGTGCAATGAATACCTGTTTATAGGTGACCCTCAAAGGTGTGGTAGAGATTGTAGGAAGCACTTGGCGTGCTGGCGTTCCTCCTGCTGTATGTCCTGAAGGCGTGGGGAGAGCTTTCTGCCTCTAATCCACCCAGCTGGAACCGAAAGCCGCGTGCTTAGGAGAAATCCCTGCCAAAAGGAGGCTAACGTGAGTGCTTGCCCTGTGGCAGCAGGAGCCTGCCCAGCGTGGTGAGCCCCCAGGGTGCTCATCTTCTTCTTCCTCTCTTGCCTGGTGCCTCGCAGCAGGGTGCAGGGCTGGCCTGGCCAGCCTGGAGCCTGGGAGCTATTGCAGAGCAGGTGAGGACAGGGGCACTGAGCTCAGGAGGGGCTTCCCAAGGAAATACAAGACACGTGTTACCTGGCGAGAGGTGGGACTGTATAGAATGCAAATGTACCAGTACAAAGTCACGTTCTGCTCCTCTCTAATGTGTTGTAATGCAGAGGCATTGAGCAGAGGAGTTAGAAAGTCTTTGGCATCCTTATGCTGCAGGGAGACTCCAGCCAGATTCCAATGACCTAAATCTGCCATGCTGAATCCTGCCTGCAGTTTTTGTTTGAGAGGGGTATTTCCCTGCCTGCCTCTGGAAAGCGGTGTCGTAAGATGTTTACATTTTAGCAGATTGTGCAGGGATCCCACGGTGGTGTTCCCATATAACCTCACGACTCTTTTTATGGTGGATGGTGCACACATCAGAAGAGCAGCCTGGAGACCACTTAGCTTCCAGAGCCCATCCTTGTTCTTGGCAGTGAGGGATGTCCTGCAGGCAGGGGATGCCACAAGAGAACTGGAGGGTCCTCAAGATTTCAAAAAGGGGCTCTGCATGTCTTGTCTTTAAAGAAGTAATTGTTCTTCCCTTTACCTGGGGAAGAGCCTCTTGGGTGTGTGTATCGTGGCTCTGGTGAAAGGAGGAGCTCCTGCTGCAGCAGTTCCAGGATGCAGGAGGTGGGTGTCCTGGGCACTGAGCCCCTGGTCCCCCAGTGCCCACAGAGCTTCTGTGTGGAATGAAGTGTGGGGTGAAGCGTGGGGGTTAAACACCCACCAACATCGCACTGATAGGGAAATTCCTCATTCAGGAGCAGAGGGTGCCTCTCTGGAGTACTGGGAAAACGGGCTGGGAAGGCAGTGAGATCACTGGGGAAGGTCACATCTCCAGCTGGATTGCTGGTTTTTCTTCCCGGACCTGTTATTTCCCAATTCTGCTCCGTGGGCCACAGAGCAGGTCCCTGAGAGTTCTGGAGGAGGGCGACGGGCGCTCGGAATCGGGCTGGCACTTGTCCCCCACGTCCCCTGCGGCCTGGTGCCTGCGGGGGTGGTCGGGCCCAGCGAGCCTGGTGCTGACAGGACTCGGCGTCTCCCCAGGCCTCTGCTCCTGAGGTGGAGGTGTTCGGGACGCCGGGGAAATGGAGTCAGCAGGTTTTTTAATTAAATAGCCGAGGTGTTTGAACTTGATGCATCCCTCTCATTCCCTCCCTTTCTCAGTCTCCCGCCTGCAGCGCCAGATCTCTTCAGGGGAACCCAGCCAACGCTCATCATTATTCCAGAGGCATCAGCCTCCCCGGCTCTCGTGTCGTCTCGCTGCTCCCGAGAGACCGTGCCGGATGGCTGCGAGCCCTTTCCCCCGCTCCGGGCTGGGAAACTTGTCACTCTGACAGTTACAATACCCCAGTTTTGACGCCTGACGATGGAAATCGCCGCATAATCATGAGTGTGACAAATATTGAAGGCCTTGTTTGAGTCTTATTACGCCGTGGCAAAGTTTTCTATCCAAACACTATTTTAAAAGTCGAAGCACTGTAATAAAGAAACTTCTTCCATATTCTCTCCACAGAACCTTGTCATTAAATATTCAATTAGTATGTTTTATTTTTATTCTCTTCTCCACAGGTTCTGTATGCAGAAGAGTGTCAGACTGGTGCCAGGAGTCACACTGGATTTAATAGAAAAGTAAGCCAAATTTTTTTCTTTTGTTTTTTCCTTGTTGTTCTTAATTTCCTTGTAATTACCAGCATTTCTCTTGGTTGCCTGCAAAGAAGTTTTTGTGGGAAGCTTCTCTCAGGGCCTGTGCCTGCAGTGTTTGTCACTCCTTGCCTTGCTGGGTGCTGGGCAAGCGGTGCCAGAGCCGGGGCTGCGGATGTGCTGGGGCTTTGCTCTGTGGCATTGGGGACCCAGAGCCCTCGCCACTCATCCAGGCCAGGGAAGGGGCAGTGGCAGGCCTG